AAGTATGGATAAACTGTTGGCGTTGCAGCATTTCTATACTCAGCCAAGCTTCGATTGCACCACATGCACCAAGAGTATGTCCAAAATAACTTTTTAATGAGCTGATCGGTTTTTTACCAAATATACGCGCAGTGGCTTGAGTTTCTGCAACATCGCCTTGATCTGTCGAAGTCCCATGAGCGTTGATATAATCAATCTCTTGTGCAGAAATTGCGGCATCTTTAAGTGCCATGCGCATACATCTTTCCATCATTTCTGAATTTGGACGAGTGACATGCTCACCATCCGTATTGCTGGCATAACCGATGACTTCTGCATAGATCGTTGCACCACGTGCCAGTGCATGTTCATATTCTTCTAGCACTAAACAGCCAGCACCTTCACCAATTACCAAACCATCACGATTTTTATCAAATGGACGTGGTGTTTTTTCAGGTGTATCGTTCATCCCACTGGTGGCTAACAACACATCAAATACTGCTGAACCTGTCGCGCTGAGTTCCTCAGCACCACCCGCAAGCATCAGCGTTTGTTTACCTAATTTAATCGCCTCAAATGCCTGTCCGATTGCCATTGAACCCGAAGTACAGGCACTTGATGTGGGTAAGGTTAAACCTTTTAAACCAAAATAAACCGTCATATTCACAGCGCTGGTATGTGACATCATTCGGATATACGTGGTCGCATTTAACTGACTCATGTCGTTGTCTATGAGCATTTTCCCAAACTCTTTGACTGCATCGACACTCCCTGCAGAGGAGCCAAAAGCAACACCAGCATCGCCACTTTTCAAAATAGGATGATCGATCAAGCCTGCATCTGCCAATGCTTTTTCAGCACAAATCACCGACATCAATGCGACTCTTCCCATACCTCGCGTCACTTTACGATTAAAATGTTTAGGGACCTCAAAGTGCGCTACTGGGCCTGCAATTTTGCAACGTAGATCAGTATAAATATCCCAATCAGGCATCACACGAATGCCATTTTTTGACGCTTGGAATTGGGCAAAAATTTCATCTGCAGTTTCACCCAATGAAGTGATTCCCGACATTCCCGTCACAACAACACGTTTCATTAAATCAGCCCCCCATTCACCGAAATCACTTGCCGAGTAATATAGCTTGCGTGATCAGAGCAGAGAAAGTTCACCGTATGCGCCACTTCATCGACCTGTCCCATACGTTGTAAGGGAATCATTTTTAAAGCATGTTCTTTTACTTCTTCTGTGACCATTTCCGTTTCAATCAGCCCCGGTGCAACGCAATTCACCGTAATTTTTCTTTTTGCCAGTTCTAAAGCCAAAGCTTTGGTCGCACCAATCAATCCCGCTTTTGCCGCACTATAATTGACTTGACCACGATTACCCATAATGCCAGAAACAGAAGAAAGCGTGACAATACGCCCGCCTTGTTTTAGGCGAATCATCGGCATCACTAAAGGTTTTAATACATTATAAAAACCATCCAATGAGGTCGAAATTACTTCATCCCAATCATTGTCGGTTAAAGCTGGAAATGCGCCATCATGGGTTAAACCTGCATTTAGCACCACACCATAAAATGCACCATAAAGCTCGATATCTTGTTCCAGTATCTGTCGGGTGTTTTCACGTTGTGTGA